GGCCGCGCCCCGGCTGGCCGCCCGTGATTTGAGAGCTGCCCCCTGCCTCCTGAGAAGCGCGGGTGTACCGACGCAAATCCAGCTGCCTTCTGGTGCCAGGGGCTGCAAGGTTAAGGGGGCGCCCTGCTTGGAGCAGGTGGCCCGGAGAGCTGCCGCGGCCCGTGGTTTCTGGGGGACAAAAAGGCAAAACGCGGGTGTTTGGTGCGCGTGTGAGACGAAGGGCTTCACGTAAGCATGTCCTCGTGTGGGCTCCGGAGAGAGGAGGCTGCTGGAGGAAGGAGGGAGAACACGTCGGTGTTGCAGAGCCTGGAAATGGAGAAGTGGAAGCTAGGCAACGAAGCCTGGGATGGAGTGGGAAGAGGGACTGACTTGGTTTGAGTCTGGGGTGTGCCTGCCTGAGAAGGCAATCTTTACTATATGTTAAAGCGTAAAACCTAAGGAGGAAGAAAGTAGTCTGCAAAGAGGTGAATTTAAGGCAAATGCTGAAGGGCAGAACAGTTTTCCTGTCCGAGACTTGATGGAGGGTGGAATAGTCTTTTGGTAGCTCTGGTGAAAGGCTTTAATTTGAGCTTAGCTTTACTCCTGGGACGAACAGTGCGGTATCAGAGAGCAGGCTGAATGAGCTGCTAGTAGGCCTTTGCTGCCTTTGACTCCTGTGGTCACATTAAATGCACCTGCAGCAGTCCTGCTGTGGCATGAAGAAATTGAGGTCAAACAGAGAAGAAAATACATAATTTAACTTAAATAATCTATTTGGCCATCTTTATTAATAGAACATAAGATTTAAATTTGCACTTTGAAAGAGACTGAATGTTTGGCAATAGTTGTAAGCTTATGTTGTGGTAAGTTTTCAGATGTGTGTTTGCACATGTATCTACAGTAACAGCTTCAAGGGCATGAATTCCTTAGCCTGGGCGAATTTGCTGTTACTTGCCGTATTGCTTGATAGTACTTCAGGATAATGGCAAGCCCGAGACTGTGACAGGCTTTATCAGGCTGCTGATAAACTCAGGAATCAAAATTCTCAAAGCGTTTGATGTGAAGCAGTTAGACATGAAAAGATGAGATCATGATGCATTAATCTTTAATTGAGCATGCATTTGGGGGGTGTTGTAGTAGAAACTGTGGCAGGAAGGTATATCAAAGCTCAAAATTACCGTGATCAAACAACAAGAAGAGCAAACCTGCAAACTGTTGGCTTTCTGGTAGCAATCCTGTTCTGGTCCTTTTCAGAGGACCTTCAGAGGATTCTGACTGCGGTGGTTCAAATGGAGAGAGGATAGTTTCTTGAAAACGTACTCAGGGAAGCCACAAGAGTCGCTGTGAGCTGTTCAGCCTCAGCAAACACCCCCCAACCAGTGCAGTATCTCTACATTACATGGTACAAACACTTGAGTGTTGTCTGGTTTTCCCTTAGTTATCATCTTTATTTATGGGTAGATTTTTGTATTTAGATTATCTCCACCCCTAAGACCTGGAAAATCCAAGATACCTGTGCACCTTACAACAGTACTACATTCGATGTGTGAAGAAGCAGTTAACTTTTCAGCTAGGAAAGTACAAATTTAACGTAATGTTCAAACTCCTTCCTGCAGCCTGTGCCCTTCTGTTCTTTCTGTGTTAAGTTACGTGTAACAGCTTGTCTGCACACCCACAAAGGAGCTCCGAGAGACAGTGATGGTGGGAGGGAGAGCCCAAATAGTCACCTGCCCTGGATACTCCCAGGCCCATCGCAGGCCCATCTCCACAAGCCCAGAGCAGCAGAGGACACAATGGTAGCAAGGAACCCAAACTGCAGGCTCCCAGGAGTTACCACCGTATCCGGGCCCTTCCCAGGGATGTCCCAGCAGAGTT